TTTTGTTCTTTAAAAAATAAGTTCATAAATTTTAAAGTTACTTATACCGTCACAGTTAAACATCTGCTATTTAAAACATATTTTTTGGTGGTTTTACAAACAATAAAAGCATTTGACTAAATTATTTAATCGAAAGTTTATCAAAAAAATATTTATCATTGCTGAAAAGTTTAGAAACCCTCCAACGGAGTCGTCGGCCCTGGAATTATACCATTATATAAGAGAAAACAATTTGAGTATTTTATCTATAGATATCAATAATTTTTAAGTACATATATTGGTGGTAATAGTTTAAAATTGGATCAATTTATTGTGTTGTATAAAAGAAAATAGAATAAATGCAAAAGAAATAAATTTTTTTGAAAAGAAATTTAGCTTCTGGTTAGATAAAGACTTATATGCAAAAACTAAAAAGTTAAAAAAAGTCGGAAGACCAAAAAATAATCTCAATAAAGCAAAACAAAGAAAAATAAGCAGTTTGGTGAAAGAAAATACACCAGAAGAATTATTATTTGCTGCAAATAATTAATATTTGCTAATTATTATTTGCTGTAATTATTATTTGCTGCAAGTAAAAAATGTAAAAAAATAGGAAATTTACCAGACACAAAAACATCCTCAGCTGATAAAGCGCTTGTTTTAATTTTATATTGTTAGCTGACTAAAAAAGGCATATCAACTTATAAGATCTGCAGCAGCAATTAAAGGCCACAAAAACTTGTATCTAGTATAAAATAATATTAAAGAATCTAAAAAATGATGCTATCGAGGCATTGTATTTTAGATTCTGCATTAAGACATTAAGATCTTTACAAAGTAAAGAGACCAATCTTAATCCTTTTCATGGTCATTCAGTTATAAGAAGAACGCTTCTTCCAATAGGAATGTTATCAGAAGAAGCTCAAGAAGCAAGAAGCAAACAAACTTTTTTAAAAAAAATCATGAACATTTTAGTCGTGAAGAATAATGAAGATTTACTAAGACGACTACTATGCTCATCTGATCCATATATAAGCAATTTGAGAAAACCAGTATCAAATTCTAATAAAATTCAACTTCCACATGAAGCAATTCAACTATTAAAACTGTCAAGCTTCAAACATAATATCTAAGTTACATTCTTTATTAGAACAATTTTATTATTTTAGTTTGAATTATTGACGTAGAAACAGGAGGCAAAGAGGAAAATTGCCTCCCCCAACCAACCCAAAACTCCCATTTTTCATTCTAATTCTAGCTCTGGCTGGTTTAGCCCCTTTGTTTCTTCTCAGCCCACCTAACTTTTTTGACCTTCCCAAGCCACTGGTTTACGGTACATTAATTTATAGATGATGTGGCGGGATAGCTCAGTTGATTAGAGCATCAAACGAAAAGTTAAAATCCGGACTGCTGAACGATACAAGTTCAAATCCTGCCAGCACCAACTCAGCGCTTGACTAGTACTTCGGTACGCAAAAATGTTGGTCAATAACGGACGCTACTTTGGATTAGTCTTAATGACTATTTGTGGCTGTTCCTATGCTAAACCAACAATATCTTCGGATATAAGAACATTGTATAGAAAAGTATAGCATGAAAATTCAAATAAATAAATTAAAATAAAAAATAAATAGATGAAGTTTGTTGTAATATATTAAATTCACAGTTATATTTAACATTCGCGCAAATACAGAGTATTTTATGAATTTTGTATAAAACTGAATATGACAACAAAAAGCTTGTTGCTTTAAAAAATGAGGTATCCATAGCAATCAATAAGAAAAAAACATCCCTCGAAGCGGAGACCTTATATTTTTACTAATTCCAAATTTAGTTCTGGTCTGCTGTGCATTGCTCTCCCCCCCTCCTTCTCTCTCTAAACTTTTTTCCCTTATTTGTATTAAACTTTAAATCATTGATGTACTAATGAAGATTTACAAGAATTATTTAAATTAAATGTTTTAAAAGTAAAATGGATCAAATTTAAAAAATACATAAAAATTACAATCTTCAACATAAAAACAACAGCGATGTAATTAATGCGTTTCTAATCCTAAACTGATGTAAAAAAAAAATCAGCGTAATATAATTTTAATTTAGTTAGTTAGAGACTTTGCAACAATATACGAATAAAAAGTTTCTTATATTTTCACATTTTGAAAAACAGTTTTGTCCACTATCTGGCCCACTGTGCATTGGGATAAGCGTAAATTGGTTTAAGTGGGAACTGTTATAAGAGCGAACCAGTTTCAAAAACTGGCAAAAATGCAAACTGGCATAAGTGTGCTAAAAGAATTTTCAAATATTGGTATAAGTGCAAACTGGGAAAAATGCCAATATGCACTTACGTTAATGTATGAAGTTATATTCGTGGCAAATTGCACTTATGCCAGTTCGTACTTATGACAATTCTCACTTAAGCCGATGTTTGGAAATTTATTCAGCGCACTTATGCCAATTCGCATTTATATCGAGTCGCACTTATTCCAATTTTTTCAACTGCTTTGTACTTAGCCAGTTTAGTTACTAAAGCAGTTGGAAAAACTGGCATAACAGCAAACTAGTATAAGTGCTAACTGGCATAAGTGCGCCAAAAGAATTTGCAAACATCGGCCTAAGTTCTAACTGGCATAAGTCTGTACTAGCATAAGTGCAAAGCAGTTGAAAAAACTGGCTCAAGTTTTTGCAACTGATGCCTCAGAACAATTTATTAATGTTGTTTGAATTGAAAAATTACAAAATCTTCTGATTTTTAACACTCATTAACCGCGATTTGTTAAAACAACTTTTACATCCATACAATCATTGTCAAATAGTATTGTTTCCCTCCCCAAACCCAAGTGGTAGAGCAATTGTCTAGTTTTATACTACTGCTATTATACTTTTATACTATTCTAAACTAAATTTATACTCACCAATAAATTTTCAATTTCATGTAAAAATATTATAACGTTCAAAAGTTATGACCATGCAGAGCCGACGACACGGGAAGGTGGGGGGCAGGGGAGCACGCGCACCTCCTCCCCCCACCACACTTTTTTTCTAAATGACCTTTTTTTTTTTTTTTTTTTGAGAAAATTCTAGATATAGAAGACATTTTTTAAGAATTGACGATTGTGCCCCCCCCCCCACTCCGAAACCCATGTCGTCGGCCCTGCCATGTTAAGTTCATAAACCCCTCAAAATGAGGGATAAACAAAATTTGAAAAATTGGATATTAATTAAACATTTGGCTTTGACTTAACATAATTAAGCATACCTAAAACACCAATCATTTACTATTACAAGGATTGTGGAAGATTTTTTGATCTTTAAAAAAAATAATCAGCGGGTACAGACGCCCGTAAGACGATGTTATATAAACGTCAAAATTCAGCAGGACGCCCTCGGGACGTTCAACGAACGTTCTGTGCTAACTGGGATAACTTTTCAGATTTTAAAAACTTTACCTGTTTAAGTTAACATCAAAATATATATCAATAGTATTATTTGAAATTAATAATACTATTATACAAAAATAATTGAAGTTTAACATTCCGTACATAACATCGTGAAAAAGTGCCTAAAAATTAAATTACTTAATAATGAAAAGTCTTATATTAATTTTATTTGCAGTTTTGTGAAAAAAAGACTTGTTTTTGTCGTTATTGTAAAGACAAATTGTATTTGTCTTTATTTTGAAAAGACATTGTAGACATTGCACTCAAATAAATGAAGGATTACTTACCGATAATTGAAGGATGACTTGTCGATAATATTACTTGCAGATAAGATTACTTGTCGATTAAATTACTTGCCGATACAAAACATAATAACTTACTGCTACAGATTGTATTAGTATGCACAAAACAGCAGTAAAAAAAAAGTATTAAATTAAAAGAAAAATCTCAACAACATAACATTTTTCAATCTGGGTCATCTGTTACATCTCTCATTCATATACATTTTTTTAAACACAAATTTTCTTTTATAATATAGTGTTATATTTGATAACAGTTATAACATTAATATTGTTATTGACAATATTTTTTGAATAGTTCAAAAGTTATAAAAAGTTTAAAAGTTCACATAATATTAATGCAGATAATAAAAAGTTCACATAATATTAATGCAGATAATAAAAAGTTCACATAATATTAATGCAGATAATAAAAAGTTCACATAATATTAATGCAGATAATAAAAAGCTCACATAATATTAATGCAGATAATAAAAAAGTTCACATAATATTAATGCAGATAATAAAAAAGTTCACATAATATTAATGCAGATAATAAAAAGTTCACATAATATTAATGCAGATAATAAAAAGTTCACATAATATTAATGCAGATAATAAAAAAGTTCACATAATATTAATGCAGATAATAAAAAGTTCACATAATATTAATGCAGATAATAAAAAAGTTCACATAATATTAATGCAGATAATAAAAAGTTCACATAATATTAATGCAGATAATAAAAAGTTCACATAATATTAATGCAGATAATAAAAAGTTCACATAATATTAATGCAGATAAGGTTCAATTGGAGAACTTAATGAAAATTTAATTTTAATTAGTTTAGTACTACGCTCTTCTAAAAACCGTAAAAACCGCGACATGTAAAACATGTAAAAACCGCGACATTTGTCACCCAATGATGAGCTAACCTCGTAGTTTGAAACTTTCGGTTGAAGGACGTATAAAATTTATTTGGTATAAAATACGCGTTTAAATAAAAGTTAAATACGACAAAATGTCGTAATAATTGATTGCAGGTTAGATAACCCTGGTCCCTGCAATCTTAATAATTGATTGCAGGTTAGATAATTCTGGTCCCTGCAATCTTTTTTTCAATCATCAAAGCACTTTTCTTTTATTATATAAGTTATTATTACTTTTAAACGACAAAGCAATTAAATGAATAATTTATATTTTTAAAATAATACAAATAAATAATGCATAAGTTCACATTCTAAAATAAACGACGAACACTTTCTTTACGAAAAATTGGAGAGAATAGAATGAGCAGATGGTTTTTACTATTTTCTGTACCTTCAATGTTTACAAAAACAAAACAAGAAAGGACATAAAAATTTTGAACTTTAATTTAATAATAAACTTTTTGCATTGCTCGAGGCAATGCCTCTTCTATATTACTTTTAGTAAATGACCATGACAGAAAATTGTAAGTAGTTTGTTTGTTCTACCTATTGATTGTTCTGCATTTATATTTCCATTTTTAAAACAAGTTCGTTTAACTGGTGAATAACGACGAAACGGAACTTCCGAAAGTTTCACTTTAATTCAAAGAGCTGTTAAAACTTGAACTATTTCAAGTTTATTTCCCTTGGTGATTATTGATAATCATTTTTATACCTTGAACCGCATTTTGTTAACGGTTGGTTGGTTAAAAATGGTTGAATAAAAGTAACGTAAGTAGAGAATAATGACGTAACATGGAATTGAAAACATTAATATTATCTTAGACTGTAACGAGTATGATTAAATAAGGTCAGTAATTAAATGAAAATTTTCTGAATAAGCAGAAAGTTTACAGCTATTTTGTCGGACTCTCCGTAAATGCTATTATTTGTCTAATATAGATTAGAGCCAGTTTTGAACTATAAGGAGTTATCAAATCTATTTATAATATGAAACACAAATAAAAAAACTTATATAAACTATAATTTAACCAAGTTATTTTATAAGTTAAGTTCTATTTGGTAACTAGTATAAACTCCACTTTTGATCTGAGATATTTTATTTTGCACAAAAAATATGTTAAAATAGTTTTCATTATTATAACCATTTGCAGTTTTTGTTCTACTTTTCGTATACATTATAAACGTTTCTTTTCTTTACTATTATAATTTTTTTTTACCTTAGCAACTTGGTTTTAATTAAAACTATTATTTAAAATGTTGTAGCAATTAATTCATTTCCTAATAAGAAATACACTGCTAAAACTGTACATAATCGTTTTTATAGTTGTTAAAAATTTATTTGATTAATTTATAACTATTTAAATAATGCGTTATTGTTTTCTAATCGTTAAAATTGTAAATTTAACAATTATAAAACGATATTTAATTCAATTTTCGCAAACTATTTTGACCAGAGGCAAAATTTATAGTACTCAACCCTAATAGAATTTGTTTCTTTTCAATGAGGGTGCGATATATATATATATATATATATATATATATATATATATATATATATATATATATATATATATATATATATATATATACAATATATAATATGTAATGCATATATGTATATATATAGTAAAATCTAGAAAACTGTTTGCTCGACTAAAATTAGCAAACTTCCTGACTCTAGTTTGCTTCCCAACAAATTGGAATAATTAAGTATGAGAAAGGTTAAAGCAGTTTTTGTTAAAAAACAGAACTACAGATTACGATGAATGAAAGATCAAAACTTTATAAATATTTTTCTTAAAAAATAAAATAGTTAAACAATTATTAAATCTAAAAAATAATTTCGACTCATCAACTTATTCATTTTTAAAAAAGGTTGAACATCCAATAATAATTAATTATTATATATATATATATATATATATATATATATATATATATATATATATATATATATATATATATACATATATATATATATATATATATATATATATATATATATATATATATATATATATATATATATATATATATATATATATATATATATATATATATATATATATAACTTTATATAAAAGAAGATAATAACACAAGCAAATCTATAAATTGAAAAAAAGTTTATACATTTGAAAAAATTAGGCCGATATGCTTCCTACAAAGAATTAACAAAAAATTAAACTTCAATCTAAACCCATGAAATTTATTTCTGCAAAATACATAATTTATAAAAAGTTTACTCGATCAAAAAAAGTCAATACCAAAAATTTACTAAATTTACGTTAAATAAAACTAAAACTAGCAATTTATTCTAAAAAATTGTACTTTACATCTTTTTTAAATGACATGTGAAATGACAATGGATGTAAAGTATACTTGGAAAGAAATTAAAGAAATCATATATCAAACCTTCTACCAAGTCTTTTAGTTTCAAACCAATGAAAATGTCATCCTAGATCTTACAGTGTTGCTTATATATTTAATAACTATTATCCGACTGTTCTTAAAAATAGTAAAAGTCCCAATAGCCAACCAATATTTCTTCGAAAGCTGGTATCTTACATAATAAAGAAACCTCAACGATGAATAATTTATTCAAAAATGGTATTTGTACAGAGGCTTTTAAGGTAGTCAAAGTAGTTCCTATACCCAAAATGGGTTCCCTTCTGGACTGCTCCAAATATTGACCCATTTTTCTTTGTTCAAATTTAATTAAACTGTATGAAAAAAGAATGTTTCACAAACTCCAGAAATTTTGAAAAAAATACAAATTGATTTACAAACATTAGTATAGCTTTTGCAAAAAAAAATCAATAACTCATTAATAGAAATAAGAGAAAAAGTTTATTTCTATTAATGAGAAAACTCATTAATAGAATAAGAGAGAAACTCATTAATAGAAATAAGAGAGAAAGTTAAACGAGCCCTTGACAGAAATATCATTGTTGAAGTGTTTATTGACATAAGAAAAGCATTTGATACAGTTGAGCACACAACCCCCCTTTGACAAACTGAAACACTGTACTTTTTTCTCTTATTTTTTTCTTATCATTATAATAGAACACAATTTGTTTAAAATAATGATATCAACTCAGAAATAATGTTCAATGGCTCCGCTCCAATAAATTATCCCTTAACTCTAAAAAAGCTGAAAAATTTAAACTTGTTCAATCTAAAATAGATTGAACAAGTTTAAATGGGCAGCAAAAAAACTTAATTAACTCTATTAAATATCTGAAAATCAAAATAGACTCTAGTTTAACTTTTTCATCGCATCTTTGATGATAGCATTAAAATAAAGCATATCGACCGGGATTTTAGCAAAAATCTATCATCATGTTTATCATGAAACTTTGCTTAATATATATCATTCTATTTTTTGCTCTCATCTCAGATGAGAGCGCAAAATAGAATGGTATATGAAATATATGAAATGAATGATATATGCATATATGAAATGAATGATACATGCATATATAAAATGAATGATATATGTATATATGAAAAGAATAATATATGCATATATGAAATGAATAATATATGAAATATATGAAATGAATTGTATATGCATAAACTAAATGAATGATATATGCATTTGTGAAATGAATGATATATGCATATATGAAATGAATCTGATGCTTGCCAAGCTAAAGACTAACTCATCTTCAATCTCCAAAATTAACCTTTAAAAGTAATTTATTAATGTAACGTATTATTAATGTAACCAACGTACTAATTCAAACTCTAATATTTATCTAAAGTTCTTAAAGTGTACGACCTTATTAAAGTTGCCCTTTTTTAGGAACCAAAATCATCTTCCATTTATTAACTTTTTTAATTGTAAGGAAAATTGTAATTACTTTGTAAAATTTGTTCGCAGCTATAAGTTATGTGTACCTAAATAATGAACTGTGCATCGGCTATAAATCCATACACTATAAAAGCAAAAAAACATAGATTAATCTCTCTTTTCAACAAAAATTTCTTAAATCTCAAAATTTAGTACTTCTTATTATAATTTTTTTTTTCAGAAAAATGTTGTTTATAAACTTTATATCTTTCTGCAATTTATTATTTTAACCCTAACTCTGAACTTCTATTTATCCAATATTTTTCTCTTTTCTATTCTCTAATACTAACTTAAATATCTTTTTTAATTTAATATTTTATTGTTTTTTAAACTGAAATATTTTAATTAGTATTTTCTTCATAACTATCGTAATAAATATTATTATTCTTACTGTTGATTTTTTGTTTTTATTATATCATTGTAACTTATATTTTTATTATTATTATTATTATTGTTGTTATTGTTATTATTATTGTTGTTATTATTGTTATTATTATTATAGTATAATTTCTACATTATTTTTACTTGTATTATAGTAATAATTATCACCACTATTTTTATTATCATTGAGTTTGACAGGTGTTTATTTCACATACATATTTATTACTATTTGTAAATACCCTTGATGTAACAACTTTATTCAGAATATATTGGATATGTAAAAAAGTATAAAAAAAACTATTTAAAACATGTTAAAACTTATTTACATATAGAAAAAAGTTTCAATATTCGTAAAAAGTTGTATTTTAAAATGTTTCATGAACCATTTTACCAGTAGTTATTGTAAGTAATTAATGTAATATGTAATTCAGCAGTATTATTTTTTGTTTTTAGTGCCGATTCCCGCTATCGTTTTTTTGTGTGTAATATGCGGCTGCATGGTTGTACTTGTAATTGTCTACCAACTTCTTCAAAGAGATATGTGTTGCAAAATTGAGGTTGGGGGAAGAAGTGAAGATAAAGATAAAAATGGCTACAAAGAAATTGTTCAGAATTTCTACGATCTTGATGAAAATGAAGCTTTTACTACAGATGAAGATCCAATTAGTCGCAAAAGTAGTCGTCGTAGTAGCAGAAGGAGCAGTTGTGATATCGCAGCAAGTCAATCTGGCTGTGAATTACAAATAGGCGAAGATGCATCTACATATAGTGACCAAATGAATGCAAGATTAAGCTTTGGGCAAGATGATGCTTATAAACACGGTGGTAAAATATTTTTTGACTGTAATTACTCTCCATCAACACAACAAATGATAATTATAGTAATAAAGGCGGCTGATATTCCTTCAAGAGCTCGAGGAGGTTCTTCAGCAGTGCAAGTCCGATTAGTTCTTTTACCTGCAAAGCATCATCGATTTAAGACTAAAGTAAGACCTGCTGCAAACCCTGTTTTTAATGAAACCTTTATTTTTCAACGTATTGATCAATTCATAATAAACCAATCATCTTTAAGATTAAGAATTTATGGTCAAGAGCGTTATAATCAAGGTAGAGTATTAGGTGAACTTGTTATAC